GCAAACACAAAGCCACTGAAGGAAAACTGTGTGTTGTGAATGTAGCCTGCAAACCTCTTTAGTCTCCGTTAATACAGAAGAAATTAGAAATATAACAACAACATGTTGATGTGATGCTCACTTAATAAATAAATGCTGGTAGTTGGGAATAATATTTGTGGAGGATCTCTTTTCTGTGGCAGCAGCAGGTACTAAAACACAGAGTACAACAGAGCAACACAAACCTGATAGGCCTATAAATGTTTACATGTTTTCCCCACATCTCGGTTTAATTTGACGTGACAGTCACATGTCTGTGATCATATTCGGGCCACATACAGTCTGATCTTATAGCAGCCACAGAATTTCCAGATTTTATTTTGAGGAAGTTTATCTGAAGAATATTTCCATTTGATGGAACGGTGCAGCCATAAAAACATGGAGGATCTGGTTTGAATATCTCACTCAGTGATGACATCATATAGCCGAACTTCACTGAAGAGCTGGAACAAGTTGAACGCAATAAATATGAGATGCTGTCAGACGAGCGTGAAATGTAAAATGTTTGTGCTGTTAAAATCTGTGAATAACAACAACCTTACTGGGCTGCTGATCTTCCATTATAGCAGGACTGGTTGTTTCTATTAAAGGTAACAGGACACAAACCCTCTGCACACAGTTTGCTCCTCCAGTGACTTTAAAGTGAAAACTATCATCTGTTGAACAAACTGAAGCTCCTCTGCTGCCTCCTGCTGGCTGCTTCCTGTCACTGTCAGTCTGTTCGTCCCTCAGGACAAACTGGAGAGCTCCTCACAAAACATTCACATTAACACAACAGCTACATTTACTACACTGCTGTACTCAAGTACAACACTCAGGTACTTGTACTTTACTTTCTACTTCTACTCCACATCTCAGAGGGAAATATTGTACTTTTACTTCACTACATTTATCTGACAGCTTTAGTTACTTAGAAACACATACGAGTTCACATTTAGTATTTAAAATAGTTTTTGTTATAAATTAAACTCCCAACAGTTTATACAATTATTACTATAAGTTTTTCTTTTACACGATATAAATCCTCCACACCAGACTCTACTACTGAAAATCTCTGATACAAAACGAGCTCCAGCTCAACAACTACAGCAGTAAAATCCTGCTTTTACATTAATGAGACATTAAAATAACAGAAACGTCATATAATTAATATCTTAATGTTAAAAAAAAATTCCACACTCCCTGATGAGATACGAAGTAACTTACTATCACATTTTGATGGTGGGGTCATCACCATGGAGACGGGAAGGTTCATTTCCTGCAGTCAGAGCAGGTTAGAAAGAAAATGATCTTCAGATCTATGTAGTGACGTCTGTGACTGTCTCTGATGCTGTACGTCTTTTTGTTCTGTTTGTGTTTCTAAACCAAAAATCTTTCTTTACCAAGATCATCATAGACAAACGTCTCCAATATTGACAGCAGAACTGATGCTCGTTGATACTGCAGCCTTAATGCAGCCCCAGGTTGTGGTACCAATTTTGAGAGTAATTTATAAAACTTTATAGATTTATTTTCAACCCAGCGCCCTCATAGACCTGACGGGATGATGGTGAACAACATGTCACAGTACGTGTGATTGGCCGTCTGAGGTTACGCCTACTGATTTGTGGTGGAAATGGTAAATTTCCTTCTGAAGAAATTAAAAATAAAGACGTTACAACAAACAGGTGTCTTTGTGATATTTATTAAAGTAAGAATAACAGAGTGATTCAGCTGAAGGGCAGAGCTCATACACCAGAGGGCTGTTAGAGAGTCTGACCCAGAGAAACAGAGAAGACATTTAATGCTAGAGAATTATTGTGGAGTCCAACAGAAAAGCCTTTCTCAGCCTTGAACCACAGTGGAAACTCCTTTCTCACAGGAAAGCATGAAACAAAACAATCTCACAGAAGGTCATTATATCAAAACACTGGTACACTTAGTGGAAATTATAACATCACATAAGATGACAAAGAACATAAGTAATGACATATAGAGGATTAATAAAAGTACATATACAGGGTATATACACAAGTATCCTGAAGTAAAACAACACCTGTAAGACCTTTTTAATGTATTATAAGACGGCCGCGAATTGTGAAATTTAAATATATTCAATCAAATTTTTATGGCCTATATGTGACCAGGTTATAATCTCTTCTAAAAGCTGAGGCATTCACCAACCTTCTCAGTCTGTATAGCCTGTTTTCTTTGTGAAGAACTGGTCAAATTTCCTGCGAAAATCCATTGTCTTAAATCGGCTATGACGTTTATGTTTGCAACATTACTGAAAATCATGTGAACAGTGTGATTTTGTGTTTTAGTTGTTTCAAAGTAGATATTGTTTGCTTGCATGCACTGACCAGTGGATAACTACCTGACATAGTTGTAATTTATTTTCAGGCATAAATGTGGAAAGGGTGAACTGTTGGTTGCAATCTGATCCCTTACTGCTAGAAGCCACTAGAAACTACATAATGAACCTTTAACTTACTATAAATTGATTTTGAGACTGTAAAAGTAAACAGTCTTTCATCAACTACTGTATCAATACAACATAATTCAAAAACCCCAGAAGGGAACAAAGCTGAAGAGAATAAAAAGAGTGATGATAACGTTGGTAGTGTAGGCGGTGTAGCACACAGACATTTGTGATCAGCTGCTGCTGTCTGCATCCTAAAGATTAAAGGAGGCGGCTAGAAGGAGCACATATTGGCACAATGGCATCCTGGCTCTGGCTAAATCTACATCAGCTAGTATAAATGAATCTATAATATTTTACAAGTATACTGTTAATGTTACTATATTCATTATAATCGAATACAGTTTACCACTATTATAATATTAATTCCAGTTACTGCAGTTTCATTTTGGGGTTGTTTTTTATTCATTAACTTGTTCAAGAAAAATGCTCTAGGCTGCATGGTAGTTAGTCTCCAACTTTAATTTTAAGTAGGCTACTAACTCGTCAGTAATCATAACTATTTATGCAGAACGATTTCAACTTTTGAATAGTTTGCTGTAGCACATCAAACTTTTGTCCCGCTCCATTCAGGCTGTGATAGATCTGATCACAAAAAGTGACACTGACGAGCGCTTCGGCTTTATGAAAAGGTGAAAATGTTTCAATAAAAAAGGCACAGAGTTAGCTAAATAGCCAGCTAAGTTAGCCAAACGTTGTTTATATTTTCCCTGTTGTCTTCTGCAGAGGTGGGACCAAGTCATCGTTTTACAAGTCCGAGTCAAGTTTCAAGTCCAAAGTCGAGTCCCAAGTCTTAAACTTTGAGTTTGAGTCCTTAACAAGTCATAATGCGCTCTTACTCAAATTTAAAACCATTTCAAAAGTTTTTTCAAAAAATGTAATGAATGAATCATTAGCCTGTACAGAAAGAAGGCAGAGGAGCTGTTACAAACAACAAATGTTCTATAATTTCCTGAATTAAATTAAATGTTCATGTAGGGCTGCTAATTATTTTGGTCAATACTGAGATCACAAATATGTAACAGGTTTACTTACTCATTGCCTTATGAAACATCAAACTATTGGACCCTTAAAATGTAATACTTTCTTTTTCAAAACTAGGCTACTATATATGCTCTATATGCTATATATACTCAAAAATCCCAAATAGCCCATGAAATAAGAAACAATAATCCAATATGATGAACTTAAAGCAGCATCTAGAGCGCAAAAGGACAACAGCACTGTAGTTTCCTCCAAGATGACAGCTTTTGGTGATGGATGGGTCACTGAGGGGGCAGTGTGTGTGTAGGTAAGAAAACCAGCCACAAAATTGGTTTATTACCTTTTAAGACCCCGGATGTAGGTAAAATCTATATGTTTCCATTTCAGTTGCCCCCTTGACCATGGTCACATTGACTTTATAACAAACTGTCATATCCTCAATCAACCTAATTTAATTTTGTGGAGTACACATGTATTATGTTTTATAATTTCTGTGAATATAATCCAATTAATCTTATTTCCATCCTGCATGGACACCTTATTTTTAAAACCGGACGTTGTCACATGTGTATCCTTGAGCTAAATTCATCAAGTCCAACCCAATTTGATAAATAATGTATGTGGTTCTCCTATTGCGTAAATGAAGACTTCACAGCCTCTCTTCAGGTAGGACTCTCACAATCACACACTTGTCTTTGTAAATAGAGAAACTGACAGGATAAAGTCTCCAACCTGCCTGGCAGTTCTCTCTGGTTCGTTTCAGTTTTGAATATGTGTGCACGCCAAATTTAGGTGCGGCTAGCTTAATCGACGTCTCAGAAACGAGTGACAAACACTCAGACCATTTGTTGCTTTTTCTAAGATGTCAGCCACAGATGGTGTGGATGTGCTAGGAGACAATTCAGCAGAACAGTGTCTACAAACGGCAATTTTTGTGTCTTTCTCTGACATTTTAAAATGCTTCCCCACTGCAGACATGTCAACGTAATTGTTCTGTAAAATTTAATTGGTCACTGAAAATGCTATTTTTGCTATTTTCAGCCAATTCATTTCACTGGCCGAACAATCGGTGCTTCTCTGCCTTTGCTGTCTGTACCTCTGTGTGTTACCTCTGTGTGTATATATTGCGCAGGCTGTTCACCCATCTCTCTCTCACCCTGAGCCACTTTTCTGCCTCTTAAAAGGAAGTTTATCCTTGCCGCTGTCGCTTAGTGCTGATCTTAGTGGGAATTGTTGGGTTTCTGTAACTAATATCATAGAGTACAGTCTAGACCTGCTCTTTTATGAGAAGCTCTTGAGATAACTGTTAATTATGCTGTGAAAATAATAAAATTGAACTGAATTTATAAACCCTTTGAACTGACACTTTCCAGCTCTTTCCAAATCAAACTTCCTCAGCTGTCATCACAGTCACATGATAACAGGTGGTTGTATTCAGGGCAGCAGGAAACAGCTAGCTTGGCTCTGTGAAAACTGTCACACTGATGCTTTGTGAATGCATTTGTGTCAGGGTTCTTCTCCTGTTGTGAACACGTTGGTGAATTTTTAGGGTACCTGATTGGGCGAAACGTTTTCCACACTGTTCACACCAGTACGGTTTCTCTCCAGTGTGAACACGTTGGTGGATTTTTAGGTGACTTGATGTAGCGAAGGTTTTTCCACACTGTTCACACCAGTGAGGTTTCTCTCCAGTGTGAACACGTTGGTGGTTTTGCAGGGCACCTGATCGAGAAAAGGTTTTTCCACACTGTTCACACCAGTACGGTTTCTCTCCAGTGTGAACACGTTGGTGTGTTTTCAGGTCACTTGATACAGTGAAAGTTTTCCCACACTGGTCACAGCTGTATGGTTTCTCTCCAGTGTGAACACGTTGGTGTTTTTTTAGGTTACCTGATGTAGTGAAAGCTTTCCCACACTGGTCACACCTGTACGGTTTCTCTCCAGTGTGAACACGTTGGTGTGTTTTCAGGTCACTTGATGCAGTGAAAGTTTTCCCACACTGATCACACCAGTATGGTTTCTCTCCAGTGTGAACACGTTGGTGGTGTTTTAGGTGACCTGATGCAGTGAAAGTTTTCCCACACAGTTCACACCTGTACAGTTTCTCTCCAGTGTGAACTCTCTGATGAATCTTCAAAGATCCACATCTTGTGAAGGATTTGTCACAGTGCTGACAGCGGTGACATTTGATTCCATCTCTTCCTCTCCTTTTCTATATCAACAGAGAGAAACACAGTGAGATGTCATGGTGGAGCGAGCTGTCTAAAACCATAAATGACATTAGAGCACATCTTTGAAATCACATGCTAACCTACTGTACCACATGATGAGTACAGGGCTTAAAGCAAGACATTTTTCTGTGCCTGAAATGTGTTCGATGTTTACGACAAAGAAGGAAGGTAGGGGGCAAGAGCGTAATATGATAATGGGTTCACAAGAACAAGGCGAGAAGATAGGTGTACAATGTTTTGATTTGATTTGATTTTGAGTATTAAATATAAGTGCTGGTACTTAGAGCTGGCAATATCGTTGGAGATGTTATCCCGATAAAACATTTCATATCATTCAACATCGACAATTCTCGTGATAAATGTCACTTGATGCCAGTGGATCACTTAACAAATCTGAGGTAAAACAAACATTCAAAACAATTATAATTAAGTAAAAAATTTGAGCAATGATTTTTTCATGATTCAAATTAAATCAAACACTTATTAAATATTTGTAATATTGTTATTGAGGAAAATAATATCCCCATACTAGCGAAATTAATGTATCCAGGTTAAGAAAACTTCCAGTTCCAGTCGCGAGCTGCAGCAGATTGGAAAGAAGCAAGACCAAAGGCAGAGTTGGTTTTGGGAATACTTAACTGAAGACGAAGTGAGGACCGGGTGTTGCATGTGACAGGCTTTGGCTGCAACAGATGACCCAAGTAAGGAGGTGAGCGACCGAGAAGGGTCTTGTAAATGAAAGTGAACCAGTGAATTTCTGTCTGAAGGGATTACCAGTTGACAGATGAATATAAAGCACAGTGGTGTGTATTGAAAGAAGCATTTGTGGCAATCCTGATGGCGGAATGGTAAAGAGTGTCAAGATAGATTTTGATAGAGTGGACATGCAAGCAACCCTGTATATAGTGTCTCCATAGTCTAACATGGGTAGAATGGTCATTTGAATAAGAGTAAGTTTGGCAGAAGTGGTGAAGGAAGAGCGGTTTCTGTAAAGGAAACCAAGCTTGGCCTTGACCTTAGATTGCAGCTTTGATATGTGGATAGAGAAAGAAAGTGAAGTTTCCAGCCAGATGCCCAAGTATTTATATGCAGTGACTTGTTCTAGAATAGCCCCCTTGCAAGTGGTCATTTTAAGCGCTGGAGGAGGCATAGTACACTTATGGTGAAACCACATGATTTTTGTTTTGAAGGTATTAAGAGTGAGATTGAGTTGTGTAAAGGATTGCTGCAGTTGGAAATAGCTATCTTGCAAGGTAGCTTGAACAGCATCAGAGGAGGAACCTGTGGCATAAAGGATTGTATCACCAGCATACAAGTGAATGAGAGATTTACCAATTTCTTGGGGAATGTTATTAATATAAATTAAGAAAAGTGTGGGGCCAAGGATGGAGCCTTGGGGGACACCCCTAGTGACCGGGAGAGTATGGGAAAAAAAAATTCAAACCTTACACATTGAACCCGGTGAGAAAGATAATTAGAGAACCAAACCAATGAGTGATCAATGGCACCAATGCTGAGACTAAGTCTATAATTATTTTGGTCAGCCTGATCACCGCCCTTATACAGAGGAAGCACCACTGCTTCTTTCCAAGCAGGTGGAATCTCGGCAGTATGAAATGATAGATTAAAAAGGGATGTTAGTGGAGCGGCAATAACCGGAGCAGCAATTTTAATGAAAAAAGCGGCAAGATCATCTGAACCACTTACTGGGGTCCAGATTAATCAATTCCTTCAGGACTTCCTCCACTAAAACAGGCTGAATGGAAAAACTGTGAGGAGGTGCAAAAAGACTGCAGGTTTTAGAGACTGCAGGGGCTGTAGCGATAGGGGTTATCGCCTTGAAAACAAAGCCAGAATTTATAAAGTGGTGATTGAATGCTTCAGCCATGGAGTTTTTATTAGTAACAACTATGTCACAGATAGTTACGGAGACCTGTGCTGCTCTGTACCAGGGCATGAAGAAAGACTTTCTGAAGGTATGTTGTGAAAAGTTGTGAAAATTGACTTTTCTGAGATCCACAATAAAAATACATTTTGATATCAATTCAGGATATATAGTGTGAGTTACTTGAGAAAAAGAAATATCACTATGAACTATGACTAGAAACAACACAGTTTGTTAAATAAATTCTAACTCCTAGCCATAACTTGTTTTTTCCTCCTATTCTTTTAGACACCATCAATGGAGGCAGAATGGCGGACAATAGCATATTCCCATACAGCCTCCCAAAAAAGTGGCAGTCTTTTCCACAACTACAAGGGCAGGTAGGGTTTTAGATGCTGGACTGTTCGATCACTCAGACTTGCGCAAAGCAATGGACCTGCTGAACTTTCCTCCTCCTGAACCTTTTCCCAGCTCTTACATAATGATGCCCTACATGTTTGTAGGTGATGAGGCATATCCCTTAAGACACTACCTCGTGAAAGCCATATCCTTTTAGGCAGATGGACCACAGTTAGATTCTGAACTACCGTTCTACCGAACTACCACTATACGCATGCGTTGGCGTCTGTAGCCACCTGTCGGAAGCTCCGTCTTAAACCGGACTTATCCAGTTTTAAACCACTCTTTTTCGTTACATTTTTACTTTTTATTTAACTTAACTTTATTTAAGTTTTACGTGGGTTAAGGATTTTAGTCATCCGACATGGATTTTAAACTAGATGACCGTAAAAACGCGATCAACGCTACTGATCGCAACAAAGCTCCGGTGACTATGATAGCCGAGATAACTCTGCCCCATGAGGACTGCACACTCCTTAAGAAAGCAAACAAGAAGATTGCTGACCTTATGGAAGACATCCGACGACTCAAAGAGAAAGATTCCCTGCTGACTGGCTTTATGGATGTGGCTTCAGTACAAGCCAAACAGATTGTTTCTCTTAGCGCAACCGCTAACATCCAGGACACCGTGTTTTGGGACCCCTCTAGTCTTCCCAGGCTTTCATCCTGCTCGACTCCGAAGCATCAGTCAACCTGGGCTGAAGTGGTGGTCCGTGGCTGCAAGAGAGGCTCGGATGGGGCTGCCTCTCCTCCGTCCATCGGCCTCTCCAACCGCTATGCAGCCTTGTCTAACGACACTCCGGTCCATCCAGCGGATGCACCTGCGGCTTCGAGTCTCCCTGATACGGATCTCTTTTGGCGCACAGTGCCTCCCGATACTGTTGCATCTCCTCCACCGGCTACATCTCCTGCACTGGGCCGCCGGTCTGCCGCCGGGCCTGATCGGCGGCCGTCATCGCGGTCAAAAACCTCCGCTTCCCGACGTAGGATCCTGAAGGAGGCTGTGCTCAGACGCTCCGGAGGCTGTCTCCACCCTGCACCGTCGGGTAGCCCTTCTCTCAGGTCTGTCACTGCTACTCCAACACAACACTCGGCAGCTCACACACTCCATCCTCAGTCCGCACGCAGTGTTGAAGCAAATTCTGCTCAGTCCTGCTCTGGAACCACACAACCGGCATCTCCTTGTCCTCTTTTCTCCCCAACCACACTAATAATTGGTGACTCCATAACCAGAAACCTCCGTTTCTTTAACGCTACCACTCACTGCTTCCTCGGTGCCACCATGGCTGACATTTTAAAAGAACTCCAGGACCTGATGCCGTCGCTCCCGTCCTCCATCACAAGAGTGATAGTCCATGTTGGAACAAATGACAAAGCTCTTCGGCAGTCTGAGCTGACAAAATTAGATTTTAACCGTCTTTTTAACTTTTTAAAGCAGTGCGGAAAGTCCGTTTTTATCTCTGGTCCCATTCCCACAGTTGGTCGCGGTGCTGGCCGCTTCAGTAGACTCCTTGGCCTCCACGACTGGCTCCAGTCCGCCTGCAGGGCTCACCGTGTGTTATGTGGATAATTTTAATATTTTCTGACAAAGAATGTCTCTTTTTAAGACAGACGGACTTCACCCAAACAAACGGGGCTCAGAAATGTTAGCTGCGCACATACAGCATGTGGTGCGGTCCACACATGACTTACGTGAATGACTAATCATTCATGCAGCACACCTGGACGCACCACCGCTCACTGAACAGATCTCTGCCTCACTGCCACAAACAACTGTCTCCACCTGCTGGCATGTAAAGCCGTCTGCTCCCAGCGCTGTTCCACAGACTTCTATTCCTGTCATCATCACGCATAGACCAGTAAACCGAAATGTGCACATCCACACAGAAATATTAGTAATCTCTTAAGGATTAGGACAACTGCACCAACTCCAGCACCCAGAACAAACTCATTTAAAATGGCTCTCTTCAATGTGAGATCACTGTCAAGTAAGACTTTTATCTTAAATGATTTTATCTTGTCTGCAAATCTAGATTTTATGTTTTTAAATCCGTTGAATCCTGGTTGCAAATGAATGACTATAGCCAGCTAGCTGAACTGTGTCCGCCTCAATATGATTGTTTTAGTCAACCGAGGGTCAGTGGTCGTGGTGGTGGGCTAGTGAGCGTGTATAGGAAAAATTTTAAATGCCATCAAGTACGCTGTGATGAATTTAACTCCTTTGAAGTTCTCACTCTTAAAGTTGGAGGGCTGCAACCTATCATATTTGTTATAATTTATCACCCCCCAAAACCTCCTGGAGGATTTTTATCAGAACTTCCTAAATTTTTATCTATTCTGGTTTTAAATTATGACAGAATTGTTCTTTGTGGCGATTTTAATATTCATGTTGATGACCCAAACAATGTTAATGCAACTGACTTTTTAAATATGGCCACTTCTTTTAACTTCAAACAACATGTCAAAGGGCAAACACATAACCGTGGTCATACACTGGACTTGGTTTTTACCCTGGGTGTCAGCATTTCCTCTGTGGAATTAGTGGACATGACCATATCTGACCACAGATGTATTGTTTTTAGCTGCGATTCACCTGTTACTCATGCCGCCTCACCAAGCTCCGTGTGTTCTCGCATCTTTAATGAACAAAGTGTTTCAAAGTTTTGCGCATTCTTTCAGAGCCAAAGCCAACACCTGTCTGATTCCAACACCAACAATCTGGTCGATCACTTCAAACATATCTGCTTGTCGTCACTAAATATTACTGCTCCTCTAAAGGTTAGGCCTACGTCTAAAGCTAGTAAGCAACCCTGGATAAATGACAGCATTCGCAGCCTAAAAAGGGAATGCAGGAAAGCAGACCGCAGATGGAAAAAATCCATCCATCCAAGTCCATTACCTCAGTCTGAAGGATTTATTAATTAACTACAATAACATGGTTAAGGATGCGAGAACACACTATTTTTCTGAACTCATTACTACACATAAACACAATCCCAGGTTTCTGTTTAAGACTGTGGATCAGCTGGTAAACCCAACCCCTCCTTGTGCCTCAGCTGGAAGTAATCATGACTGTGAATTGTTTTTATCTTATTTTACCAATAAGGTGGTGTCAATCAGAGCCTCTATTACCCCTGCGGCCTCTTACTCAGAGGTTCCTCACCAGCAACAAGAGAGTTTTAACCAGTTTTATCCCATCGACTTGTCTGAGCTTTTAAAAACAGTATCACAAATGAGAGTGTCCTCCAGCCCACTTGATGTAATACCTACAAAATTTTTACTGAAAGTAATAGATTCTGTTGGGCCCCATTTGATCTCTGTTTTCAACAGCTCCCTATCTACTGGTTGTGTCCCTGATTATTTTAAAACGGCTTGCATGAACCCACTTTTAAAGAAACCTGGTTTAGATCCCTCCCTCCCACATAATTTTAGACCAATTTCAAAACTGCCTTTTATTGCAAAGATTCTAGAAAGAATTGTGTACTGGAAAATAACAAATTATTTGAAAAGTTTCAGTCTGGTTTTAGGAAGTACCACAGCACTGAGACTGCCCTGCTTAAAGTCACCAATGACCTTTTAATGTCTGCTGATGAAGGCATGTGCTCAGTCCTGGTACTCCTGGACCTTAGCGCTGCTTTTGACACAATTGATCACAACATCATGTTAGACAGACTGAGGCACTGGGTGGGGATCTCTGGTACTGCCCTAGAATGGTTTTCATCCTACCTGTCAAATAGGAAGTTTTGTGTGTCTGTAAACAACTATGTCTCCTCGTTCTGTCCAGTTAAATATGGTGTGCCTCAGGGGTCGGTCTTAGGACCCATTTTGTTTTCCTTGTATCTGCTTCCCCTTGGACATATTATCCATAAACATGGCATTTCTTTTCATATTTATGCTGATGACACACAAATATACTTGCCCGTCAGATCCACAGACCCTGGAATGCTGAGTTCACTTAACAACTGCCTTTGTGAATTAAAAAAATGGATGTCAAATAATTTCCTCCAGCTGAACTCAGACAAAACAGAAATCCTGGTCATCAGTTCTCAGCAGATGGCAAATCAAATACTGCCATCTGCTGGTTCCCTAGTAAATCACATTAAGCCTGTGGCAAAGAACCTTGGTGTTTGGTTTGATAGTAATTTAAATTTCGAGCAGCACACCACAAAGCTTGTTCAATCATGTTTTTATCAACTTAGAAATATAGCTAAAATTCGATCTATGTTAACTTTTAAGGACACCGAGACCATTTTACACGCCTTCGTCTCATCACGCCTGGATTATTGCAACAGCCTTTTCACCTGTTTAACCCAAAAATCTATTGATCGACTCCAGACTGTCCAGAACTCAGCTGCCAGGCTTTTAACCAGAACAAAGAAATATGACCACATTACTCCTATTTTAGCTTCATTACACTGGCTCCCAGTATGTTTTAGAATTGACTTTAAAATTCTATTGATCACTTTTAAAGCTCTTCATGGCCTCTCACCTTGTTATATTTCTGACCTTTTAGTCCCATACGCACCAGCACGTACCTTGAGATCCTCGGGCAGAGGTCTGTTGTCTGTTCCAGAGTCTCGACTGAAAACTAAAGGGGACAGAGCGTTTGCTGTCAGGGCCCCGAGCTCTGGAACAGCCTGCCCGAGGAAATCAGGTCGGCTGAGTCAGTGAACTCTTTTAAGTCCCTTCTTAAAACATACTTTTATAGGAGAGCTTTTCCCGATCTTATTTGACTTTATTTTATCCCTTTTATTTTATTGTATTTTACTAATTTTATATTAATTTTTTTTGTATTATTCTTTACACTTGTTAAAGCACTTTGTATCTTGTTTTTGAAAAGTGCTCTACAAATAAGGATTATTATTATTATTATTATTACCGTAGAGAATGCATTTGGCATTCTTGCAAAAAGGTTGAGAGTTTTCAGGTCCACCATATGCTTGGAGCCAGACAAGGTGGTGAAGATAACAATGGCCTCCCTGTGCATCCACAACTTCCTCCGCGAGCGCAGTTCTGACTTGTATACACCGCCAGCCTTTGCAGACTTGGAGAATACCGACCACAACACAGTTGATGGAGTCTGGAGGAATCAAGGGGTGGGGGCTTTACATCCAGTGGCGCATAGAAGAGGACGCAATGCACCAGTTATGGCAAAAACTCAACGAAACCTTCTGCAGGAGTATTTTGTCTCACCAGCAGGCAGTGGTCATTGGCAGGAGCAACACGTCTAGAAACTGAGACGATAGATGTCCTGATTAATTTTTCCCAGTAAATAAGACTGTGTGTACTGCATTACCTTTTGTTTTAAATACAATAAAGATCACTGTGGTTCAGTAATTGACCTCTTATTGATTTAACTCCTTTAACTGTGTAGTTTGAAGATACTGTATCACATTTGAAAAGGTGTATTAACAGTAAATATCCTGTACACTGTGCAGCTTCCAACCAATGCTGAAAGTGCTCTGTTCAAGTGGGTTTATAAGAACAGTGCAGGAATGGGAACAAATACTTCACATATTGTAAAATTTATATCATATCTAAAACATCCACAATGTAGGCCTCCAAACATTTTCAGGGGAGGCTCAGTGAATATAAGTGAAACATTACATTACTTATTGCATTAGGAGAGTTCAGGGATACAGTAGTTTTCGGAACCATTTCCCCCCCATCAGTCAGAAACTAATAAATGACCTTAGGTCAGACATTCATGATCCATTGTGGTTCAACTGATTTGTTATTTATTGATATTGATCAAGATACTATAATGGTTATGATGTAATTGTTCACATATGTATAAACAGGCCATTTTTAAATGTAGGTTTCAAAGATTTATTTAAAAAGTAACACTGCAATGTCAACATGCCTTCAAATAATAGTTAAATATATAATGTGCTTACAAGTGCAACAGTGCAGGAATGAAAAAATACTATACAAAAAACCCAATAACCAAACACACACACACACACACACACACACACACACACACACACACACGTAAGTATACCTAAACATAAGTACTATTGTATGTAGTATACTTCAGATTGTCAATGTGATCATGGCCTTGCAATGACTGTAAAAAGCTCGGATACGTAGTCCGAGGTGACGATGTGTTCTGAGGTTGAGGCCATTCTGGTGGCGAAGATGACAAGATGGGTTGAAATGTGTATGGCGTAGGCGGTGCATGTGAAGAGGAAGATCTGTGCCTTTCAGTTTCCTGAGTGTCGTAGATCATATTCATTATGTCCCTTTTCAACTGTGTAAGGTATGCAGGGTCTTAAATTAGCCTCAGTTCCAATACAACCTGGTTCCCAAATGTAGCTAATACATCAGGAGTGGGTTCTGCATCCATTTTTGCCGCCTTCTGCTTTAACAAGGCAAGCTTCTGCAGCTCGATATCAGTTTCTGACATCCCCTTGCGCTTTACTCCGCTGGTGCTTGATCCCCGTTGTGCCATCCTGCTCTCTGTTGAGGTAGGTGAAGGAGTTTCCTCTCCAGCCGTTGGAGAAGCTCTTTCATCTGACGATTCAAGGGAGGAGGCAGAACATGATGCGCTATCTGCTGATGTGGTGGGGTTTGATTCAGAGAGATTGAGGTCATCACGCTCGGTGAATGAAGCACAAAGCTACAAAGGATATGAAACAGAAATGTTAGAGTTGACATCACAGTTTTATAGAAATAAACATTAATGTACATTATTCTCAACTTTACTGGATAATACGTTTTGTACTAGTGATGGAAAAACACCCTAACATTTCATAATTACTGTAACAATGGCTACCCACATTTGTTATACTCACACAAGCACTGTGTAAAATTCAGGGGTGCACCTTATCCCTAAATATGTGCAGTCAGTTGTGTAGACGGTAGACTTACAGTGGTCTCACATGGACGGTGAACAATGTAGGTTTTAATGAAATCCATGGCCCTGAGGAGCCATCTTTGCCTAGGCATCAATGGTTTGCTGCCACTCCCACTCGGTTTTGGTTTCATCAACCTAGAAAACTGCGTTTGTAGCCCTCGTCTTCACGTCCTCAACTGAAGGAGACAAACAAGAAAGAATATGCATTGTTGTCAGCTGTTATGCACTCCAGAATTTCATTTGACCGTTTTAAACTGTGCCCTGAAACTGAGGGGGGTCTTGCAGTAATGTTTTAAGACAAAGTGGCCCAAAAAAAAAAATGCATTACTTAAGTCGACAGTCATGCTGGTAACATCATTTATCAAGTGCTTATTACGGCTGCCATGTAGGCATTGTACTATCTCTCGTCATTACAATAATTAACATAGCTCTTACTGAAAACATGTTTTGCTCACCTTGCTGTTGAAGAGCATTATTAATTTCTGTCCACCTCTTCTCTTTCTCTGTTCGGTCGTGGTACTTCTCCTTCGACACATCATACAGGCATTCGTGCTCCTGCCAGAGTTCAATAAAATTTTGCTCCATGACCTGTGTCCACACTTTTCTTGTTGCTGCTACTTTTTGTCGTCTTAGAATGTTACACAGCGTTTCCACTTTATTTACGTTAAACGGACTACGTTTCTCTTCCGGTGACACAGTCCGTTTCTCTTCCGGTGACACAGTCCGTTTCTCTTCCGGTGACACAGTCCGTTTCTCTTCCGTTGAGCCAGCCACATGTCTCATTGGCCAAACCTTCTCCACACTTTTCACACCACATGATGTTGAGGAGTCGGCCAATTCTTCCAGATATTTGCCACGCTAGATATCTGCCAGACGTCAGTGATGTGTCAGAAATGGGAGCCGTTTTGACGTGTCATTGAGTAGTTCACACATAACAACTGGCAACCGCCGATCAACCGCTGATTTACTCCCGATCACGGCCTGATGATAGTCGAGCTCGCTGAGCGGCCAATAAGGCTAAAAATCGTGTAGTGTGAAATAGGCTTTAATTGACCCAATAGAAACTTCCATGCCCTGTTCACGGAATGTCCACGTAGCTAGGAAGTGCCAGACCTCTTTCTTTCTTGTATACACTGACAGAGACACCGAGCCATCATTTGTGCAGAAGAAGACTTCACTCACACACACACACACACACACACACACACACCAGTTTAAAAAATACGCAAGAATATTTTCCACTCCTTTGTACATTTAGTTTTAAGCCTGTTCACTAGACAAAATCGTCATCCAGGTTAAAATGACAGTTAACGTCAATTACAGATGCACATAGCTAAGCAAGCGAGCTAGCTCCGCACACGGCCGTTAGCTCCACCGTCTCGTCCAAATATGGCCACATACGGTGCGATCGGTTGCAAACAAACATGGCAACGCCTTAACGGCAGTGTACAAACCAACGGGTGACGTCACGATGACTACATCCACTTCTTATATACAGTCTATGATCCCAATCAACGTGAAATTGAGCGCACATGCATGAGCTACATACCCCGCCTTGGCTCCTCCCATAAATGACTATGTAAATGACCATAAATACACCAGCATCACCTCCTAACGTCCTTATTTCAACAGCCAATCCTGCTGCAAAACAACAACACACTTTAATAAGTGCAAGACCGAGATGCTGATCACTGACGTGGAGGACGAAAGAAATAACAGGCGACGCTTTCCTCGCGTGAGTACATTCGCTGCCAGGGTTCACACACACACACATAATCTTTCCATTGGCGTTGTCCTCTGTAGCGCCATTGTGCAGCCACCATGCAGCATTACGCAGGGTAGCGACTGTGCAAGAGCTGTCATTCGCTTTATTTACAGACTTTGTTCATTTACGCTGTCCATATGTGGTGAAGATGTGAAACTAAACTGAAGACTAAATGGTTATATATCCACAGGGATTTATTAAAAACTAGTTACTAAAAAACTTGATGTTATCTTGGATTTTTAAGTTGATGATAATTCCATCAGTAAACCGAGTTGAGGTCTGAAGAAGACTCAGTAGCTAAATTCATGTCAACTATCTGCGGTGCTCCACAATAGTCCGGCCCTCTCCTCTGAGTTGACACTTGGTTTATATATTTTACAATTGAAAGGTGCGATATGGAATAGTTATGGCTCAATAGCACAAGCACAAATACCACTGCCGGTTTAAATATTTAAATGATAAAGAGATAACATGCGACAGTGAAATTAAATGTGTGAGACACATCATTATCCATTCCTTTCACATTCAATTAAGGCTTCGTATCCTCACTGGTTCTGTATACACAGTGATGACTGCAGGAGCACTAACCCAGGTATAACATACATTAAATATTCTGACAACACTGTGATCATGCACACCACCAATTCACTAAAGTGTAACTTCGGCGTTGAATTGCCAGCGTAGGCTACAAGGCTACAGAGGCTACGCTGTCACCTGACGTGCACCTCCTCAAAAATGTAACTACGTCGATGCGGACCGTAAGCACCGTGATTGGTCGGCTGGGTAGCCTCACAATGCCGCCGAGCCGACAGGAAGTCCCGTGCTTTGTGGTAACTTTTACTAGCGGCCAAAATGGCAGCTGTAACACAGTAGATCACTATTTTCGGTTTCAGAGACTGATATCAGATAAACCCTAGATCAGTAACCCTGGCAACTTACGCTGTGAACCTAACCTCCTCAGGAGGCGATTTACTTCAACGAATGCCGAGTTTCTCTCCTCCCCTCTTGCAGGGCCTGAAGCACTTACTGACATTTCCTCATTCATATTGTCAATATCAAAGAATATATTGGAACACAGTTAAGTCTTTAGAAACACCAAAATCAGAGTTAGATAGGCTGTTAGTTTTTTTTACCCAAAAATGATCTTGAACATGACCGCGGTGAAGTCTTTAACAATCACTCGATGTATGGACAGAGAGGTATCTTTGGACATTGTGGATTTCTCCACAGCACAGAATAAAATCTGTCCTTTATAACACTATGATTCTGTGGACATTGAGGCAGCTGTCAGGTTCAGGTGAAACACTACATTACTGCAGGAATCACTGTTTAAATTAATCTGTATAAAACGGATCAATTAACAGTAATCTTTCATATTGTGGTCGCACAGTTTGGATCATTCCTATCGTAGTTATCAGCTGGATATGATGTGAATATTTCTGAGTGAGGATGACTGTGGTGCAGCTGAAGCAAATAAATGTAGTTTAAAAGTGAGTTTTTCATGACTATCTGCTGATAGTCTGACGGGCATTAAAATAATAAAATATGAAATGAGCAAGATTGTATCAATGGAAAATAGAAAACTTTACAGTCAGTTTGAATCTAGACACATTTTCCACTGCAACAAAAAAAAAATCATTAATAGGCCTGCTGAGTCAGACTGTGGCATTACAATCACAGGTCCATGAGTAGGCTAAACTATGTCTAAAATGTTCGATTAATAGCTTCATCTTTAGTTAACCTACCTATTGCCACCAGCATTTTGTCCCGTCAGGGATCTCCTGAGGTGCAGTCGTTGGTGTAGAGGGAGCAGAGCAGTGGGGAGAGCACACACCCCTGGGGGGCGCCAGTGCTAATAGTGCTGGATGTGATGTTTCCCAGCCTCACCCGCTGACTCCTGTCAGTCACGAAGTTTGTGATCCACTGACAGGTGGAGGCTGGCACAGTGAGCTGGGTGAGTTTGGTACTGAGGATGTCTGGGATGATAGTGTTGAACGCCGAGCTGAGGTCCATAAACAGGATCCTTGCATAAGTCTTTGGAAAGTCGAGGTGTTGCAGGATGTAATGCAGTCTCAAGTTGACTGCATCATCCACTGACCTGTTAGCCCTGTAGGCAAACTGCAGGGGGTCCAACAAGGGGCCTGTAATGTCCTTCAGGTGGGCCAACATCAGTCTTTCAAAGGACTTCATGACTACAGATGTCAGGGCGACAAGCATGTAGTCCTGCAGCTAAATCTGCAGCTCATGTCGCTGGAAATGTTTTAATAACATTACAAAGTGTTGCGATTTTATTTTTGTGTTGCTTTCTCTGTGCTGGAGTTAATTTAAGAACTTGATTGTTTTATCGAGTTTGTTATCTGCCGCTGTCCGCCTGAGATTGTATGTCTGCATTAAATTTATAGCTGGGAAACTGCAGCCATCATGCTCTTGTGTGTTTACAGTGAACAGCTGATGGAGTTACGCTAAATAGGCCTACTGGGTCCGAAGTTGTTGTTTTAAGTTTTCATCAGTCAGGAAGTTTTTGTTTTTTTTACACAGAGCCAGAGTCGGTCTCCTCCTCTCCAAAACAAGCGGAACAGCTGATTACAGCAGGTACTTAAAGCTGGTTAAACATCCTGTTCCTCCAGTGCAGGCGGACACAGATGTGAGCGCTATTATCAGAGATAAATGTCTCCAATATTGACAGCAGACCGATGCTCGTTGATACTGCAGCCTTGAGCCAACTGATTTGTGGTGGAAATGGTAAATTTCCCCCTGAAGAAATAAAGACTCTGCAACCAATAGTTGTCTTTGTGATATTTATTAAAGTAAGAATAACAGAGTGATTCAGCTGAAGGGCAGAGCTCATACACCAGAGGGCTGTTAGAGAGTCTGACCCAGAGAAACAGAGAAGACATTTAATGCTAGAGAATTATTGTGGAGTCCAACAGAAAAGCCTTTCTCAGCCTTGAACCACAGTGGAAACTCCCCTTCTCACAGGAAAGCATGAAACAAAACAATCTCACAGAAGGTCATTATATCAAAACACTGGTACACTTATGTGGTGTTATAATTTCCACTAAGATGAGCAAAGAGCATAAGGGAATGACATATAAGATTAATAAAAGTAAATTCAAGTAAAATCTATTTGTTTCTATTACAGTTCCCCCTTTGGCCGTCCCATGGTCACATTAAGTTTATACCAAACTGTCAGTTCATCAATGAATGCTCTCATCTTACTGTTTAAGCAGAAACATCATTAGTAGACAAAATAAATGAGCTTCAGCTGTCTTGGTAGAACAGAGAGATTCTTGAGTAGTGAGCAAGCTAAGAGATCAAAACATATTTAATTTAAGCAGTTTGGTCAACATCATCAATGTTGTCATTGTCATGATCAGGTGGATTCAATCAGGTGACTCGTTTGACAGATTTTTCAGGAAGGAGGCAGAAGAGGAAGAATCTGTGTCTGCCTCCCTAAGACCAACATATTATTTGAAGAGGACAACAAGAAAACAACACATGCTTCATAACAGCAACTTACAGCCTCTGTAAAGACTTAAACAATCACCACATCTGTTTCTTACGGATTTCTTTCTCTCCAGCAGCCTTCCTCTGTGCTTGCTGTAGATGTGTCCTGTCTAGCTCTTGAAAACTCATCTCTTAATGATTGTATGTTGTTCCTCAAATGTAAGTCGCTTTGGATAAAAGCATCTGCCAAATGAGTAAATGTAAAGGTAAAATATAAACACATTATAAATATGTATACATATAATCTGTGTGTCTATTTCTCTATCCATATATGTACATGTCCACTTACAATAAAGTTTTTCAATGAAGAGTTTTGGCCTTTGCAACATTTGCTGGTGCTACTGAGGCACAGAAATAGTCAACAACAATCAGTAAACTATTGGGGATTGATGGGCCTTTCACACCTATCTCGTGTGTTCCGGACTTTCCAGTTTGATCTGAACCAAAATTAAAGGTATGAAACCTCCCCCGGACCACGGTCTGGACCAAACAGACCAAAATTGGTCTGACGAAAAGAGGTAGTCTTGGTCCGGGTCAAACTGAACCATGGTTTGGTTCGTTTCTAGTGTGAAAGCATTTCTTAGATGGTTCGAACTTTCAGACTATTTACAGTTAGTGCTGCAGGTAGTAATGCCATAAGAACAATATAGTGGCAACGGTATGGATATGTTAATTTTTTTAATTCATTCATTCTTGTCAAAGCAACCCACTGAACTGTTCAATCAATAAACCAATCAACTCAATTTTATTTATATAGCGCCAAATCACAACAGTTATCTCAGAGCGCTTTTCATAAAAGAGCAGGTATAGACCGTACTCAGGGATGATATTTACAGAAACCCAACAGTTCCCACCAAGAGCAGTACTAGGCATAAGAGGCAAGGAAAAACTTCCTTTTAAGAGGCAGAAACCTTGCACAATGTCAAGTATAGGGAGACCCGGCCCACATAGATTATGACAGGACGCAGGTCTGTCATGTAAAGTTCTTAAGTGCACTCACAATTGCAGTGTGAAACCAAACCTAAACCATCCATATGTATCAAAACATGAACTTTGGTTCGGACCTTGGTGCTGACCTTCAGGTGTGAAAGCCCCCTTAGTTACGAAGTATGGAATGTATCTATAGAGAAAGAATGATGTACAAGGCAAGAAACATTGATGGAGACGAGAGGCAAACCCTTGCCCCTTCATTTGAAAGGTTGCAATCTGGGCGACGATGTTGGCCCCCTCTATTTACCAAAGATAGATCAAAATCTTGATTTGTGCCTCAAGCAATTACGCTGGTAAGGCACATATATAGCCAAATAGGCAGGATGCTCAGCTGGTGTGGCCTGCCTAAATTAATCGTGCGGGTATGGGAATTATGTGTATTTGTGTGGTTATCAGTATGTCTGATGATTATCTCTGTGCAGTATGATGTAATGCCTACTTAATTGTGCTGCAAACTAATTTCCCTACGGGGACAAATAATGATTGATTGATTTAATGAACGTATAGGAAACACTGCATAAACAGTTGGGATTATGTAATGTCTAATCATTCTAAAGCTGTTCAAATGAGTCTTTACAGTTTTGTGTAGTTTAACATGTTCATCGAATTTAAGTTTGGGGTCCAAACTGACACCTAAGAATTTAGAAATCCTTGAATTTCTCCATTTCCTCTTGATTTATTTAAATTAAAAGCTTATGTTTTGAATTTCTTCTCATGGGAAAAAACATTGACACAGTCTAGAGACACACCATTCATTTCACTTGTTAATGTCTCTTCTGCTGCCCAAGGGGTTTTAGCCGATACATAGATAAGTGTGTCATCAGCATACATCTGACATCCAGCTCTTTTACAAAATCGAACCTTGTGGAATTCCCATAGACTGACGGGGTGTTGAATATTCTGCATTGATTTTAACAAACTGCCCTTTTGATTCGAGATAGGATGCAAACCAGCCAATTGCTTGCTCAGAAACACTGCTCCAACTACATTTCCCTTGTCTAATGAGGCCTTAACGTTTTTGGTGAGGTAGCAGTTGGCCATTTCAGTTGAATACCTTGGTCTAAATAAAAAGTAAATTATTTTGAAGGTGGCCAACCAATTGTTCTGTGATAATTCTTTCCAGGATCTTTGAGAGAACTGGTAGGATAGAGATTGGCCTATAATTGCTTACTTGGTTGTTAATTGGCATTATGACTGGTGTTTTCCAGGTTTGTGGAAATTTACCAACTCTGATGGAGATGTTTATCAGATGGGTTTGAACAGAGTGGAGCTGTGTGTTTTAATTACAGCAATATCCAACCCAAACCAATCCTTTGCCTTTGAATTATTTAATTTATTAGTTAAGTAAGACTGTTAAGATGTTTCCAGGGAGTAGTGCTTTTTTCTTCAGATTCCGCTATCAGTTGTGTAAAGTTTGTAGTTTTTGCAATGTGCAGTTCCCTGACAACTCAATTTCTTAATCCCTTAGAAATAAAGAGAACCGTAATTAATTTTGTGGACACTTTTCCCCCCCATTAACTGGCGAATATCATTAGTCAGCCAGGGTGAAGAGATTCTTTTTCATTTGCACTTAACATTTGTGTATATTTCTTAATCAGTCCTGAGAGTGTTTTCATCATAATATTACAACTATGATCTAAGTCCATAGTTTGTAAAACGTTGTTCCAATCAATATTATTTAATTCGTTATCAAAGCGTGGCTTTTGGTTTTTGGGAATGTCTACATTCCCTAGTTTATGTACATTCATAAACACTGTTTTGTTAGTTTTCTGACAATCAGGGCCATATTATGGTCAGAGAAGCCCGTTATTAAGTTGTACATCCTTGTAATTCATTGAGGTCTATTTGTCAATATCAAATGAATAGTCTGCTGGAAATTATGATTTGACATCATCATTTTTAGCCAGTCTAGGTTAGAATCTGTCAGTAGATTTTGAATTTGATCTCCTTTTGATATTATACTCCGAATGTTCAAATGTCCACATATATGTCCACCTAGGACACCCTTAGGTTTAGACACAGATTCCCATATCACCTTTGCATGATTTACAGACTGGAAAAATCAAAGTTCATGTTTTCGTGCTGACTGGATACCTTTTTCAAATTGTGTTTCCATTAGTATCATCTGCTCTGGCAGCTTGGGTCGCTTGTGAAACTACGGTTGTTCAGACTCAGACAGTTCATGTCTGAGTACACCATTTGCCTCTTTTCCGAACATTTTGATTGTTATTGTTTGATGTTTCGTAGGAATATTTGTTTTTAAAGCATTGTCCGAATGACACCAGCAGAAGCCAACAGCACAGCAGCAGCGTGCAACCATTTCCATTATCCTTGTTCTTATTGTAGAGATTGATTCTTTGTTTTAAGCTTGTCTTTATAATGGTAAATATTTGTTTAAGTCTGAACAAACCACTTTCAGTAATAGAAATTAAGTCAATATATATCTAAAATACAGATTTAATGTAAATATGTTTAACTACAGCTCAATAGCAAAAATATATGAAGCACGCAGAAATAATATTTCAGCAAGGGTGGAGGTTCATTCTTGACCTTGGGGAACACATTTGTAATGAATGAGTGTGTACTCTGTGGGGAAAGACCGTAACGGCAAAGATGGCAGTTATCCCGCCAGAAAGCGTTTCACAGCCAGAGCGGGAAACATATTTCAGTTGTGGTGGCATCGTGTGGTTCCACTGATGTAAGGGTAGTAGTGACAGGAAAAAAGCTTTTTAAACCTTATATTTGGCCATTGTCATCAAATCTTTTTAGTGATTTTTATTAGATTTTACAGGTGATTCTATTCATGTAGTTTTTATGTCCCAGTGAGCAGAGAAAGTGCAGTTCTGGCTCTCTCCCCACTCAGTCAGATAGGAGCCTGATCTTATCCAACGAAGGTTAAAATCAAGGGCAACTGGACTTGGTTGAAGATACTGGAAGACGTTTCGTCCCTCATCCAAAGGACTTCTTCAGTTCTGACTGACTGGCCTGATCTTGTTAGTCTGAAATAGCTGCCTGGAGGCGTTGCAAAGATGGCTGCCGAGTGCCGTGACTTACCTAGATGGACTTTGCCACATCCCGTGGCCTTCTTAAAGAGTGCGTGAACCTCCAAACCTCTTATTTTTGCTGATAACCCATGTGAATAGGTATTTAGTGGTGTTGTGGATATATTCAGGTCTAAATCGTGACACTTTACTTCAAACTATTTTAATTCTACATGTAGTGCTATAAAAATGCAGTGCCCTCTACTGGTGGACACCTGGCTACTGCAATTCAATTGTGCTATTGTCTGATAAAATAGATGGTGCTTTCAGACCAAAAGCGAAGTGAGCGTTGGGGACAATACGTTGAATATTTTCTACTCAAGTGAGAAAGTCACATGACACCGAGTCACTTGGCGAGGCTTAGGGGAGAGAAGCAGGGAGCAGCGCTGCAGCTTTGGACTAATAAACACCCGTAGTGTGTTTGGATTATGCTCTGAACACTACAATACATAAACTGCATTTATTAATTATGTATTAAATTGGCTTTTTACTTTAGTGTTTGGGATTACAACGTTGATTTATCTTCACTCAAGCTTCTCAGCAGCTTCGGTTCTAGTGTTGTTGTTGTTAGCGTTGTTACCTCTGCTGGACTACTACTTCATATTTATTTTAAAAAAACAGATAAAACTGTATGAGCTGATCGATCCAAACTCCATTCAGAAAACAAACATTTTAGAAGCAGTTGTCCTGCTGTCTTAATGACAAGCCTGATAAAGCATGAATTCAAATGTTTAAACAAATCTGCATCATATTGTAATTATTTCAGCGTCAGTTTGATCTGTTTATTGCTATATAATCACAGCAAAATGTTTACTTTGGGTTCATACAGCTGTAGTAACGGCGAGTTGTGATTATTTGCGTTATCACGTTGTGTGTGAACACTTGGCAGCTGTCCAGCAATAAAACCCCTGCGATGAAAGCGTTGCATGGATTAAACTTGCATTTGATGTGAATGCTGCATGACTCTTTCTAAATCAAACTTCTGCAGCTGTCATCACATGACGTTAGTCCAGCACAGTCACATGATAACAGGTGGTTGTATTCAGGGCAGCAGGAAACCGCTAGCTCGGCTCTGTGAAAAATGTCACACTGATGCTTTCTGGATGCATTTGTGTCTTCGAAGGTTTCTCCTGTTGGTATAAGATTTGCCACATTGATCAGAGCTGTACGGTTTCTCTCCAGTGTGAACACGTTGGTGCTTTTTTAGGTCTCCTAAGAGAGCAAAAGTTTTTCCACATTGTTCACACCAGTGAGGTTTCTCTCCAGTGTGAACACGTTGGTGTCTTCTTAGAGCACCTGATTGAGTGAAAGTGTTTCCACACTGTTCACACCAGTACGGTTTCTCTCCAGTGTGAACACGTTGGTGCTTTTTTAGGTCTCCTAAGAGAGCAAAAGTTTTTCCACATTGTTCACACCAGTGAGGTTTCTCTCCAGTGTGAACACGGTGGTGTCTTCTTAGAGCACCTGATTGAGTGAAAGTTTTTCCACACTGTTCACACCAGTACGGTTTCTCTCCAGTGTGAACACGTTGGTGGATTTTTAGGTCTCCTAAGAGAGCAAATGTTTTTCCACACTGTTCACACCAGTACGGTTTCTCTCCAGTGTGAACACGTTTGTGTCTTCTTAGGGTTCCTAATCGAGCGAAAGTTAGTCCACACTGTTCACACCAGTGAGGTTTCTCTCCAGTGTGAACACGTTGGTGTCTTCTTAGAGCACCTGATTGAGTGAAAGTGTTTCCACACTGTTCACACCAGTACGGTTTCTCTCCAGTGTGAACAAGTTGGTGCTTTTTTAGGTCTCCTAAGAGAGCAAAAGTTTTTCCACATTGTTCACAGCTGTACGGTTTCTCTCCAGTGTGAACACTCTGATGAGTCTTTAAATATCCAGATGTTGTGAAGGATTTGTGCTGTGATTTGCGTTTGAGTCCCTGTCTTCTTCTCCTTGTCTATATCAACAGAAACAGAAACACAGTGAGATGTCATGGTGGAGCGAGCTATCTAAAACCATAAAGGACATCAGAGCACATCTTTGAAATCACATACTAACCTACTGTACCGCACAGTGAGTATGTACTGTCTTACATACACACTCAGTATGTACTACATACTAAATAAATGACAGAGGTGGGAAGTAACAAATTACAATTACTCCCGTTACTATAGTTGTGTAGTTTTTCAAAAATCTGCAATTTTACTTTTACTTAAGAATATATTGTTTAAAGTATTGTACTTCGCTCAATTTTCAAGACGGAGTAAAAATAAGTTCAAGGAAAAACGTTTGAACACTTTGGCTTCAAGTGCAAGTGAACAACAGCTTTATTATGCTGTATTACTTTTCGTCTAATGCAAACTGAACATTTCCTGCAACTGCAGCTTCACATTAAAAGCATTAAACTGGCATTTAACACAAGTTGACTTTTATTTCTAAGTAGTCACAGGAAATGCAATCTGTAAGTGAGATTAGCGCTGACCGCTCTTATTCATCAAAAATGCATCTACACAACAAGACAACCGTCATTTAACAGTTTTCTGACAGCAGACCAGTTTGAAATATTGCAGTGAGTATCAGTCAGGAGCAGACAAAGTGAGCTGTTCGATAAAGAGCTGCATGCGACAAGCTGCACACCTCGCGGCATGTCGGCTGTGGCTTTTTACAAACGGATCGTTCCGTCTTTCTGTCTCTGCCACCAACTTTCTCTGCTCTAAGGCAAATAAAATCTGAACCATACCTTTCATAAAATGCAGCGGGCCAGTGCAATACCTCTGTGAAATAAGGCAGTGTGAAAGCTGCTGGTGTTAGGAGCCAATTACTAGGGATGGGGATCGAGCTTATCAATACTGCCATCGAGACTTGCAGGTCCAATGATGTAACGTTATGTCTCGAGCGTCAAATCTGATTTAATTTGAAACGCAAAAAAAAGTAACACTTGCCAAATCTGCCAGATGGTGGGGAAGCCAAATCAGGTAGTTTCTCCAGCCCCTCTGCGTCCTATTCCAGCTGTTGCGGAGCCCTTTGAACGTTTCATTGTGGACTGTGGGCCCACTGCCCCAGACAAAGGCAGGTAATCAGTTGTTGGTGACCATAATGTGTGCTTCCACTCGGTTTCCTGAGGCTATTCCACTGAGAATCTCCGCACCAGCTGTGCTTAGAGTGTCAACTAAGTTCTTTACCACCTATGGGCTGCCAAAAGTTGTGCAGACCGATCAAGGAACTAAGTTTCTCTCTAAAATATTTACACAGACTATGCAGGTGTTGGGCGTGGCCCATGTGGTGTCCTACCATCCAGAGTCACAAGGTGCGCTGGAGCCATGGCATCAAACGCACAAATCCATGTTACACAAGTATGACACTGAAAAGGACTGGGATGAAGGGGTGCCTTTTGTTCTTTTCACCTGTTGTGAGGCCAAGCAAGAGTCCCTCAGGTTCAGCCCCACTGAACTTCTGTTTGGCCCTATGAATGTGCTGAAGTAGCAGTTTGTCGGATTCTGGTACTGTGACCAATGTGTTAGATTTTGTTTCTCAGTGCAAGGAGCGGCTGCACTGTGCCTCCTCCTTAGCCAGAGATACTCTTTCCTCTTCTCAGAGTAAGATGAAGAGGTGGTTTGATAAGCGGTGGAACGACAGTTTCGGCCTGGGTACCATGTTTTGGTCCTGCTCTCCATGCAAAACATTATGTTCTGGCTGACACCAAACACCCTGAGTCTGCGTTTGTTGTAAACGGGAACATACATAGTCAACATGACCACCCCAACTTAAGAGGATATCCAGGTGGATACCCAGATACCTATAATAAGTGACCTGTTTGATCTCCTCCCTGTGAATGGACAGTGGGGTATAATCCCCCACCACCGAGGGTCAAACACCATCTCCTCCGTTTTTTTTTAGTGTTAATGGGGAGATAGTTCTTGTCACACCACTGAACAAATTTATTAACCTCCGTGAAGTACACTGACGGGTCTGAGTTCTGGTGAAGCAGGCTGAGAATTTATCAGAAAGTTTAAAAAAACAGGTTGCCCGGGAGACTATGGGTGCAGTCGTTTGTGTAAGGGGTGAACAGGACCGGAAAAGTTACACAATCCTGAGGTGCACCTGCACTGATGCGTTTGGATTCTGAAAGTGAGTCGTTAATACTGACATTTTGGGTTCTATCTGTTAAAAAAAAAAAAAGAAGAATAAAACCACTTAATAATAAAAGGATTAACATTCATCTGGGTTATTTTCTGTAAGAGCAGATGAGTCTGTAATGTATTAAAAGCATAACTAAAATCAATGAACAAAAGGCGTGCATAGGCCTTAGGATTCTCCAGATGCTTAAGAGTTAGGTGGGTGATGCTATTAATTGCATCGTCTGTACTCCTCCCCTGCCTATAAGCAAACTGGAGTGGATCCAGTTCAGGATTGACTTCAGATTTCAGTACGGATACCATGTATTTTTCAAAGCATTTCATGACAACAGAAGTTAAAGCCACCGGTCTACAATAATTGTTTTCTGTAGGACAGGGTTTCTGTAGACCCTCTGGAAGACAGGGCACCATGCTGGGGTTAGCTCTGCAGCAAAGGTCTTAAGAAGAAAAGGAGAGATGCCATCAGGGCCTTCAGATTTCTTTTTGCATACATGGCTGAAAAGTGACTGGATTTTGAGGGGATCAACTACTAACCCTGAACAAGGGTCAGGGGTAATTGACTGTAGTACATTATTGCATTGCAAAGAGTAGTCCTGTGTATCAAACCTGAGACAGAAATCATTAAGTTTGTTTGCTTTACTCAGCTTATCATATGTTATGAGGCCCTTTTTATGTGTTGTCATGTTTGTAACAGCTTTCATGGAGACCCAGAGAGTCCATAGATGTGATGGTGATCCTGGTGATGTATGTCTTATAGGTGGTTATCAGATGGACTGTGTTATGGTCCGAGTTTGACAAGGGCTTTGGACTGACCCTGTATGCATGTCTTATATTACCATAACATTTGTCCAGCACTCTATTTTCTCAAGTGCCACACTTCCAGTCCAGGAAGGGACAGTTCCAGTTTACAGTGGTTAAAACCTCCAAGAATAAAGCCTGGGGCTCCTGGTGTGCGTTGCAGTTGATCGTGGACACAGTCTGCAACACGAGCTGCAGCTCGAGCCGCATTCCCGCTGGGGGGCACATACGCTGAGCAAATTACAATATTGCCAAACTCCCTTGGGAGGTCGGGTCTTAGAGAAATGCACAGCAATTCAATATCAGGGCTGCACACAGTCTCTCTCACAGAACAGTTCCTGCACCAGCCGTCACTCACAAAAACGCAGATACCTCCCCCTCAACTTACCCCCGAAGTTTCATCCTTGTCCTGCACGGACAAGGGAGAAACCCTCCAGCTCGATCAGGGAGTTGGGGATGTCTTCGTGGAGCCAAGTCTCCGTAAATACCAACTAACCTGCCGCGCGGTATTCAAAACATACCCTCATGTTGGTATGGAGCTCCTCCATTTTGCTTTTAAGAGAGCGAACGTTGCTCAGGATCATGCCGGGCAGCGGAGGTCTACTGACTCTCCGGCGGAGACGCTGTCGGGTCCCACCACGTCGGCCTCTGTTCCATAGTGTTTTTGCGAGATGCCAGGATTTTAAATGCCTCGGGCAGGTTGAAAAAATCCGCGGGCGGCGATGTTGTTCCTGTGTAGCGGAGAGACACCAACGTGTCTCTGGCGTAGATGAGAGTGGTAGCCCACCCTCCAAGTGTGGAAAAGTTTGACACATCCTCAGAAGCTGTCAGACAATCAATGCCAATAGTCCTTGTGCAAATAACGCCATGGTGCTCCTCTGTACCCTTGTACACACTCACACAATCAATAAAAAAACCACAGTAAACGAGTAAAAACAACAAATAAAAACAGCAGCAGCACGCGAGTCTGGGTCGCCAGCAGAGCAGCGCCACCGGATGTGGTTTGGCTTAGCCTAGTCGTAGCCCCTGGAGTTCTCCGTGTTTATTGGCTTCCAAGTCTGATGGCACTCCCCATTTCTGCACAGATTTTCGAAAGGTTAATGCTGTGACACTACAGGATTCATTTCCCTTGCCCCACATAGAGGACTGTATTGACAGTATTGGTCCTGCCACTTATATCACCAAACTTGACTTGCTCAAAGGGTACTGGCAAGTGCCTTTAACCCCAAGAGCATCAGACATATCTGCCTTTGTAACACCAGATCATTTTCTGCAGTACACGGTGATGGCCTTTGGAATGAGGAATGCACCTAGTGCCGCGATGTAATGTATATGGATGATGTGGTGGTATATTCCGACACGTGGGCAGACCATCTAACTAGCCTTGCATGTGTGCATGTGTACCAGTTTGTGTACCATATTTTTTCTCATTTATTGGGGCTTTTCAGAGGTGTTACCCAATCAACAGCCACATTTAAAAGACAGTGAAGTCCAGTGGCTGGCATACACAACAGGATGTTCAAGGCACCAGCATTTCCATTGAAATAAATGCTTTGCTACATTTTGTTAGGACTACAGTTGGCTTAAAACTGAAAATAACTACATTTACTTGATTTCACAGTGGAATCGAACGCGGTTCTCCTGTGTGAAAGTCCTGGGTTTGACACAGCCAACACGGCCAATAGAGGTCGTTAAAAACGTAAACATGGGTCGTAAAGCAGCATAATAAATACATTTTATTTATAATACACTTTACATGTCAACGTAATCTCTAAGTGCAATAAATCAAGTGAGGATGGGCTCCTACGCCAACATGTTCACAAGAAAAAAATGCATTTCCTCCTAGGAAATGGAAAAACGCACAAGAGCAACATGTTGCTTCATATAGTTTTTCTTTAAATTTTTCTTTAAGATGCAATATTTTTTGCTTCTTTTAGCGACTCCGCTCTTGCTGCAGGGTCAAAATTTACATGCTGTCCATGCCAAGCAGTTTTTCTTTACCTGGTAGTGGCATCTGGTAATACAAGTAATTAAATATTACTAATGTTAGAAAGTTACCAAAGTGAATTTACAAGTTCTAAATATTTTGGGCATTTTTCTCATGATATTGATACTTTAGTAAGACTAAAAATAATCCGTTGTTTCTGAAATGTAAGAAAAAGTGTCAAATTGCAGAAAAATCTATTCCAAATTATACTACAAAAAAAAAGTACTTTATATGTAAAAGTCAAATTGAAAATAAAAAGGACAAAAACTTAATTGCCCTTCATAGAAACCACTTTTGACCGGTCGCACCACAAGATATTTTCTAATTTAGTCAAAATTTACAGGCAGAGAAAAGGCCACCTAAACAAAACAAGCTAGCTTCCTACAAAAGGACTCGATGGAATTTATAATCAAAACAAATATTGGTAGGAATAACTTTATATTAATTGTTTTTCTGAGGTCATACCACATGATATCCAAACGTGGCAACTACATACCAGCTGTTACAATTTTACATTTTTCCAGCTTTGAGAGACAGTTACAAACCTACTTGCTGTTTCAATGGGTCCTTGGCAAATTGGTACATTATTCAACGTCTAATGGATTTCAATATAAAAGTCCCAAAATGGTCGCACCACATGATATCATCGGACAAAGTTTGCTTGTGTATTATTATGGAAATATAAATACAGATACTTTGCGATTTTGTAGAGGACGACAAAACACTTTGGAAATCATGCCAAATAGGGCAAAACACAATTTTGAAAAGATTTAAATTCCAAAGAAGTTTTCAAAACAGCAGTCATGGCCGGACGGTCGCACCGCATGACATTTTGACATTTCAATTATCAGAAACATTACAAACAGCTAATGTTTTTTTTTTTTAAAGTTAAAGGTGAGTACATATATGGGAGAGGTCCTGTATTTATATGGTATGCTTTTATGCTTTCAACCTTTTTTTTGTGAAAAAAATCCAGTTGGACACAAAATGTAGGCATCACGTCATTGACCCAATCACTGCATTATTGTTGTGATTTTAACCTGTAAAGCACCTTGGTTGTTTTAAGTGTGCTATATAAATAAAACTGACATTGATATTGATTGATATTTTGTCCACAATGTCTGGCTTTTGAGCTGCCCAGTGGCAGGACACAATATTGCTAACACTTTTTCAGGTGACTGGAAATCCGATCTCACGCCCCGACTCAACACAGAAGGACGCATGGTCAAGATCCATCGGCTTCAGTTTGTAACGCACTGTGTATCCCTATAGCGTCATAGTTCAATGCAGTGAGGGAAGCCCTGTAGTGTCAGTTTTTGACGGGTAAGGTAGGTTTATGATATTTAACATAAAAGCCTAAGTAAGGACTTGGTTGTGGTGGATGGAGGGCCAGAACCCCGACTTTGAACCAGGAGACCGGGGTCCGTCTCCCGTGTGAAACTAAAAAACACTCATTAATTATTTATATTTAAGTTACGCGAGTTACGTAAGTAAACTTACTGTTGTACGTAGTTATTTTAACCCTAACCATGATCTTTTCGTAACCTTAAAGGTTCAGTGTTTAATATTTCTGAGGATCTATCGACAGAAATGCAATATAAGATCCATAACTGTTTTCAGTGGTGTGTAAAGACCGTACATAATAAACCATTATGTTTTCATTACCTTAGAATGAGACATTTATATGTACATAACCATGGGCTCCCCCTTCCATGGACGTCACCACGTTGCATCGTCAAGCATCAGATCGTCAGCACGCGATCGTCAAAACCGCTGACTTAATGTTTTTATTTTTGCCCCATTTTTATATTGCCAAAATATAGACATTCGCCTGGTATATTTTGAAAATGTTGTATGATAACTGTTGTAGGTTTATTTTCATAAAATTTACAGTTACAATTGCATTCTAGGTGTATTAGAAGATATTCAGTTGCATTATAAATCTTCCTTATGATGGTTTATTGCATTACAACATGGTGTTTTTTAACCAAATATATTTTTTCTTCATTGCATCTCCATGTAGTCTGTAAAATACATATGTTCATGTACAATGGATTTATATTCATTAGCTTCTGACTTTTCAAAGGAGACCAGAATTATGCATCCAGGCCAAAAAAAAGCACTGAAATTGTACAGTGGGGAAAACAAGTATTTGAACACCCTGCTATTTTGCAAGTTCTCCCACTTAGAAATCATGGAGGAGTCTGAAATTGTCATCGTAGGTGCATGTCCACTGTGAGAGACATAATCTAAAAAAAAATATCCAGAAATCACAGTGTATGATTTTTTAACTATTTATTTGCATGATACAGCTGCAAATAAGTATTTGAACACCTGAGAAAATCAATGTTAATATTTGGTACAGTAGCCTTTGTTTGCAATTACAGAGGTCAAACGTTTCCTGTAGTTTTTCACCAGGTTTGCACACACTGCAGGAGGGATTTTGGCCCACTCCTCCACACAGATCTTCTCTAGATCAGTCAGGTTTCTGGGCTGTCGCTGAGAAACACGGAGTTTGAGCTCCCTCCAAAGATTCTCTATTGGGTTTAGGTCTGGAGACTGGCTAGGCCACGCCAGAACCTTGATATGCTTCTTACAGAGCCACTCCTTGGTTATCCTGGCTGTGTGCTTCGGGTCATTGTCATGTTGGAAGACCCGGCCTCGACCCATCTTCAATGCTCTAACTGAGGGAAGGAGGTTGTTCTCCAAAATCTGGCAATACATGGCCCCGGTCATCCTCTCCTTAATACAGTGCAGTCGCCCTGTCCCATGTGCAGAAAAACACCCCCACAGCATGATGCTACCACCCCCATGCTTCACAGTAGGGATGGTGTTCTTGGGATGGTACTCATCATTCTTCTTCCTCCAAACACGGTTAGTGGAATTATGACCAAAAAGTTCTATTTTGGTCTCATCTGACCACATGACTTTCTCCCATGACTCCTCTGGATCATCCAAATGGTCATTGGCAAACTGAAGACGGGTCTTGACATGTGCTGGGTTAAGCAGGGGAACCTTCCGTGCCATGCGTGATTTCAAACCATGACGTCTTAGTGTATTACCAACAGTAACCTTGGAAACGGTGGTCCCAGCACTTTTCAGGTCATTGACCAGCTCCTCCCGTGTAGTTCTGGGCTGATTTCTCACCTTTCTTAGGATCATTGAGACCCCACGAGGTGAGATCTTGCATGGAGCCCCGGTCCGAGGGAGACTGACAGTCATGTTTAGCTTCTTCCATTTTCTAATGATTGCTCCAACAGTGGACCTTTTTTCACCAAGCTGCTTGGCAATTTCCCCGTAGCCCTTTCCAGCCTTGTGGAGGTGTACAATTTTGTCTCTAGTGTCTTTGGACAGCTCTTTGGTCTTGGCCATGTTAGTAGTTGGATTCTTACTGATTGTATGGGGTGGACAGGTGTCTTTATGCAGCTAACGACCTCAAACAGGTGCATCTAATTTAGGATAATAAATGGAGTGGAGGTGGACATTTTGAGAGTCAGAATTCTAGCTGATAGACAGGTGTTCAAATACTTATTTGCAGCTGTATCATACAAATAGTTAAAAAATCATACATTGTGATTTCTGGATTTTTTTTAGATTATGTCTCTCACAGTGGACATGCACCTACGATGACAATTTCAGACCCCTCCATGATTTCTAAGTGGGAGAACTTGCAAAATAGCAGGGTGTTCAAATACTTATTTTCCTCACTGTATATTATAACCAATATATTCCATATAGACGGCAAAGTTAAGATCGCTGTGTTAAAACTCTGTAGCTCGGTGTGAGTGCTTCTCTATGTATCTGACTGCCTGGGCTCAGCAGAAGAACAGTGCACAGTAAGAAAGTCCTGTCTCTAGCACACAGAAAGACAAAAGACACCAGCTTATTCCACAAAGTCAGGTTGAGATATTAAGATCAGCAGTAAGCAGTAAGCCAAGGCCAAAGGAGGGGGGGCAGTGAGATAAGAGACACCCTCGAATATCTGGGACTTTCCACAGATCCAGGTGCAGCAGGAAAGAGAGCCAAGAGATTATATAATGCTCAGAAACAGAGCTATAAAAGGAGGTCCTGAAGAAGCTGAGAGTCAGTTGTTACAGGGTTTCATGTCAACTCGGGTCTCTGTTCTGGTAAAACAATGGGACTCCACTTTGCTTCGATCTCTGACCCTCTATGGTCAAACATTTGTTCTCTAACTGGGGTCTTGATTTTCTTACACAATAAAGGCTTCATCTAAAAAGCCTAACAGCTTTCACAACAATGTAATTTAACTTTCCCTTAACGGCCGAACCGGAAGAAAACGTTAGATTTGTCCCGCTAGCTAGCATGCTAACACCCAGGCAGCAGGCTACATGCTACAAGAGACCTCCTCCTCCTCCTCCTCCTCCTCCTGCTCCTCCTCCTCTCCGGGTCCGACCGTCACATTAAGTGTGGGTTCTGTAGAGATACGGGGTTCTGATGGCTCCACTGTTGAATCCTGCTACATTACATCTTGTTTACAGTCAATATGAAGCTACGTGTCGGAACCAGGCCGAGCTAACGCCACGTTAGCTTCTTGTTAGCTGCTAGCTGTGTTCATGAACACTGACCTGAACATCGGTGCTATCAGAGCTCGAGCCTGCTGTTTGTCCTCCGGGGACGTTGTTGCTCCGGGGCTCCGGGTCCTGGTTGTCCTCCTCCATCCCGCTCTTGGTCCTGGTCTCCTCTGTGACTGTCGGAGCTCTTCAGATCAAGTCCTGCAGCCCGCAGACGTGACGGAAATTGAAAACGTGATGACGTTTTTCTCGGCCCACGCACATCCTCCAGCTGCGGTCAGATATATTTGGGGGTCTTATGGTAGTAAAGAGTCTGCAGGTGTTGCCATAATGTTAGTTGTAGCAAACCTTCCACCCACCCTTAGTTCTAATCAAACACGGGAAATTTAAAAGAAACTTAAGAATTATAATAATTAAGATTATAAAACACTAAAAGTCAATACAGTTTCAAATTCATTTCAAATTAGACTGTGAGAGTTATTTTCCTCTTTTTAACATAAAACATGACAAAAAGAGAAAAAATGCACTTCAATAATTGGCTCATTAAGAGTAAAATCAAACAATGAAGAAATTACTGCAAAGCATTAAATCATAAAATCGAAATTATGAGTCAACAAATACTTCATCTATCAAATTATGTACCAAACTGAAATACTTTACAGAGTATATGGCTGTGTCAGCTGAAATGATGATAAGAATAATATAAACAGAGGCTTATGTTCTGTAATTATTATCCTGTTTATGTTAATCTTTCTACAGACTACTTCTAATCTTTAGTTTAATAAGTTTTTTGTGACACCATAGATTGTATATGAAGTAGCTCAGTTAGTAATGAGTAATGTTAATTAGTTGTGCGTCATTACTACTTAACTTGTCGAGGAATGAGAACACAAGGTTCAAGCTGAACTGGTGTCCTGCACACATACTGTAAGTAATTATCCAGAAATCACGTAGGAAAAAAGATGCATCAAGATGGATCTGATTTGTAATAAAATAGTTGTGAGGACATTATGAACTTTGCAATAGCACCTAATGCATGTTTGTAAGACATTATAACAATTGTTATAAGGTTTTATGAACGCATTATATCGCTTTATAAATATATGCATGAGTCATTATAGCGATGACCTTCATAGAAAGTGTTACCAAAAAAAATAAAAATGTGATGAACAGTAAACTGAGATGAAACGAGGAATAAAAGTATTAAGTTCATGTAAGTGGCCACTAGATGGAAGAAAAAAGATAAGAAATTCACCATTAAAACAGGGATTTACTAATCTTTATTAATATAAAGGGAAACACAAATTTAGGTGGCAGGTGACATATCCAAATATAATAAGCGCTCAGGCATTCTGTGTTGCTTTTAGATATGTTTCTCTTATAGTTTTCACAAGGTTGTTTATCTGTCATTATACAACACAAGGCTGCTGTATAACGAAACATAAGTTTGTAGTCCCTTCATGCTGCACACAGATCTTAAATATCTGAATGCACATACAGTGTGCATTCAAATATTATCATGTTATATCATCTCTGCTGAGTCAGTTCAAAACTTTCTGCTCATTCAGAATCTCTATCAACATAGGCTATAATATTACGAGAATAACGTTATTATTTAATGACAATTGATAGCATTTTTAAACATTCTACCTGCTTATACTCTGCTGTACATAAGCCTGCGATGTTCCTCTGCTGATTTGGCCCCTTCAGACCGTCTGCAGACACAGCACCCTTTGGGACTGTACTACTGGATGAGAGAGGAGGAGGTGGATAAACGAAACTTAATGAAAACACTTCTGATCAGACAGAAATATCACCACAAATCCACACAAATGTTCACTTCAGCCACTCAGATAAAGTAGTCTGCGCCTCAGATTTTAGATTTTATTTTGCAAAACCCTTTCAGTTAGTTACCGTGACTCACAGCGCAAGACGCATCACATCAGCTTGGTGTAGATTCTTGCCCTGGCTCGTTATTATCAGTTATACATTTGTATTATACAAAGGCGGACTGGTTATAGTGGGACACACAGGCGGACTGGTTATAGTGGGACACACAGGCGGACTGGTTATAGTGGGACACAAAGGCGGACTGGTTATAGTGGGACACACAGGCGGACTGGTTATAGTGGGACACAAAGGCGGACTGGTTATAGTGGGACACAAAGGCGGACTGGTTATTGTGGGACACAAAGCCGGACTGGTTATAGTGGGACACAAAGGCGGACTGGTTATTGTGGGACACACAGGCGGACTGGTTATAGCGGGACACAGAGGCGGACTGGTTATAGCGGGACAGAGAGGCGGACTGGTTATAGCGGGACACAGAGAGGCGGACTGGTTATAGTGGGACACAAAGGCGGACTGGTTATAGTGGGACACAGAGAGGCAGACTGGTTATAGCGGGACACAGAGAGGCGGACTGGTTATAGCGGGACACAGAGAGGCGGACTGGTTATAGCGGGACACAGAGAGGCGGACTGGTTATAGCGGGACACAGAGAGGCGGACTGGTTATAGTGGGACACAAAGGCGGACTGGTTATAGTGGGACACAAAGGCGGACTGGTTATAGCGGGACACAGAGAGGCGGACTGGTTATAGCGGGACACAGAGAGGCGGACTGGTTATAGCGGGACACAAAGGCGGACTGGTTATAGTGGGACACAGAGAGGCGGACTGGTTATAGCGGGACACAAAGAGGCGGACTGGTTATAGCGGGACACAGAGAGGCGGACTGGTTATAGTGGGACACAGAGAGGCAGACTGGTTATAGCGGGACACAGAGAGGCGGACTGGTTATAGTGGGACACAAAGGCGGACTGGTTATAGCGGGACACAGAGAGGCGGACTGGTTATAGCGGGACACAGAGAGGCGGACTGGTTATAGCGGGACACAGAGAGGCGGACTGGTTATAGCGGGACACAAAGGCGGACTGGTTATAGTGGGACACAGAGAGGCGGACTGGTTATAGTGGGACAGATAGGTGGACTGTGTTCTGTCTCAGATTTTCAGGCGAGATATAAATATATCTATATCTATCTATTTATAAATATAGAATGGAAAGGCCTAAACTGTAAAATGTTTTCATTTTCATACCGCTGTTATTCTGTCATTACGTTCTGAGTAATCTTACAACATTTGAACTTAAATCAAGAGACATCTGTCAAAATTCAAGTAGTATGAAAGAGAGCTGTTGCTTTATTATTATAAATCGACTTTACATGGTTAGCGTACAGGTTTGGTTACAGTTGTTGTTTTTGGTTTGCTTTTATTTTATATAATTTAGATTTATGAAAAGCAAAATCACTAAGTTAAAACCTGCTTGGTAATAAACGTGATTCTGTTGTTTTGGGTGATAAAGCCTTGGAGCACTGCAGGCGGCTTCTGTGCTGGGAGTGATGCCCAACACCATCAAGAACACATCGTCTTTAACTGTCAGAAACGTTCTGTGTGCTCGTAACATTGCAAGTTCATTCTTACAAGAACGAATAGCAAGAAGTGTTCTGTAACGATGTCGAATATGTGTCTGAAATGCAGCTTGTAGCTCTGATCACAGTCAGCACCTTCCACTAACACTAGAGTCAAACACACAACAGGAAGCTGGACAGACACATGTCTCCACACAACAAGCTGATGTCAGTGAGGAAGTGTTGTAGAAAGACTGCTGTGTCATGTGATGTTTGTTCTTCAACACACACACAGATGTGTAGTGATGATGTAACCCTCCCCTCCATGTCTCTGCTGGGACGTCCTCACTGGCAGCATGTTGTCTCTGGGTCATTCTGCTTCCTCCGTCCTCCAGCCGGTGACCCAGAGATCCACCGAGCTCCTCCATCATCCAGGATGTTCCCCTCACTTTCACAGGTGGAGTAGAGAGGAGCCCCAGCTGGATCCTATGAGGACGTCTGTTACGGGGCAGAAACAGGCTGCTTGTTGATTGGTCGGCCGATCTGATGGACAGTAAAAGTGGAAATTCCAATATTTGTATTCCTCCAGAAGTGTAAAAGGCAATAACAGCAGCAGCAGAGGCTCTGAACGTCTTCATGATGATTCAGCAAATGAAAATGATTCCATGTGTGTGGAATCCAAATCAGAAATGAATCCTAAAAACTCTTTCACTCTGTCTGCTTCCTCTTCTTCAGCCAAAAGACTTCTCTCTTCTTCCTCTTGTGAATCCTGAAGCAGGTTTAACTGAGTCTGGGTCTCTCTGGTTGACCTGGTCTCAGTGAGACTAACAATGGCCGTCCTGGATAACCAGTATCATGAAGCTGCTTATGGACTGCCTCTGTTAACTCAGGGTTTTCCATCCAACTATTCAGTCCAGCTCACTAACAGTTTTGTTATCATCCAGTACATTTAGCTGTGCTCACATTGAGCCTCCAGGGGAAAGTCACACAAATAAGTTATGTTAGTTACTGAAAAGCAGCAGACGAGCTAACGCTGATGTATCTTCCTTCTGAAGAAGAAGAACCTCGAACCAGCCTTGTGCTGAGGTCGGTAGTGGACTCTCCAGCCCCATGGAAATTCGTGTGTATAGTGTTCAACTTATCCAGATCTTGTTTCGCCATCCAGGTTTCTTGCAGGCACAGAATGTCACACTCGTCTAGTATTGTGTCCACAACCAGACGTTTTGATCTATCAGTAGCAGCATGTCCTACTCGCAACCCGCGGGTGTTGTATGAGACAACACGCATTTAATATGTCTCATCTCTCCCAACGGAGCAGCTGACCTTCATCCCATCCTCGCCCACAACTGCAGCAGGCATCCCAGCATCGTTTTCATGGGACATCCCCTGAACCAGACAGACTTCTGTCTTTTCCTCTAAAGGCGACGAGGCTCATAATAGCGTCGGACAAAAGACCCAGCGGGCCAAAGCTGCGGATCGTACAGCTCCGCCACATCATTACATTCAGCGGAGATACAGAAGGAGCTGACTCTACTCTGTGTCGCCTCTATTTTTCTACATGTCACTTCCCAACTCAGCTTCATTTTTAAATACTCACTCTACACTTAGATCAAACTTTATAGCAAATATCTTTACCATCTTTGTTTTGACAGCTATTATATTACTAACCACACCAGTCCCAATTATGCCAGTTTTCTTTATCCCATGCATCGCTGGAGTTTTTACAGTGCGAGGTGTAGGGCTACGATGGGCAGGATTTTCAGGTACCTGCCTCAGTCTTGCCTGCTTCAGTCGGCGCCCATCCTTTACCACCATGCTCC